ACATTACTTTATATTGATATTATATTGAAATGTTAAGGTTTAGATTGGTTGGCTCGCTCACATAGGAGGGTAAGTGTGGGTGCCAGTCGCGGCCTGGATTTGGGTCGTGACACCTTCTTTGATTACTAGTTACATCTGACGAACATTCTCCAGACTGAAGATAAGTTTTGATATCATGAAACCAAGGCTTACCATCAAATTCCTCCTCAATCATGTTGCAATAGGCATGTTGATCACGAATTTGTATGTATAAAGGGTCGATATGGGCGTCATCAGGGTGTTGGAGCATCGAAGACAAAGTGGCCAATGCATCTGCAATCTCATTGTGCATTCTGGGAATGTGTCTAAACTTTATCGACACGAATCGTTGACAAAGACCTTGTAAACAATGTTGATATGGTATCAGCTTTGGGTCTCGAGTTTTCCATTCTCCTTGAATTTGATGAACTAGTAAGTCTGAGTCTCCTAACACTAACAATTCTTGGATGCTCATGTCAACAGCTAACCTCAGACCCAAAATGCATGCTTCATACTCAGACATATTATTAGTACAATAGAATCTAAGTTGGGCTGATATAGGGTAATATTCCCCTAATTCAGACATAAGAACAACTCCTATTCCAACTCCTTTCCTGTTAGAGGCACCATCAAAGAATAACTTCCAACCTTGATCGTTATCGTGAATAACTTCATCGATACAAGATATCTCTTCATCTGGAAAATAGGTTTTAAGCGGTTCATATTCTTCATCAATAGGGTTCTCTGCCAAATGATCTGCCAATGCTTGAGCTTTCATTGCGGTCCGCGTTATATAGATAATGTCAAACTCTGTGAGCAATATTTGTCATTTCGTAAGCCTGCCTGTGGGCATGGGCTTTTGAATAATATATCTCAACGGATCCATACGAGAGATGAGATAAGTAGTGTAAGACGAAAGATAATGTTTCAACTTCTGTGCTACCTAAGTTAGGGCACAACACGTTCTTTCAAGAAGGGTATACTTTGCTTCGTAAACGGTAAATTTCTTGTTGAGGTAATAAATGGCCCGCTCTTTCTTCCCAGTGTCTTCATGCTGACCCAGTACGCAACCAAAAGAATTATCAAGTACTGACATATACAATATCAAAGGTCTTCCCGGCTCGGGAGGAACCAACACAGGGGGATTTGATAGGTAACTCTTAATTTTTTCAAAAACTTGTCGACATTCTTCGGTCCACTCGACTGTGGCATTCTTTTTCAACAACTTAAAGATAGGCTCACAAGTTGTTGTGAGTTGAGCAATGAATCTGCTGATGTAGTTTAACCTTCCTAGAAGGCTCATAACCTCAGTTTTGTTCTTTGGAGGTGGCAATTCTTGGATTGCTTTAATCTTTGAAGGATCCAACTTGATACCTCTTCGACTGACTATAAACCCCAAAATCTTCCCCGATGGTACTCCAAATACACATTTTGCAGGATTAAGCTTGAGATTGTACCTGCGGAGCCTTTCGAAGAATCTCCTTAAGTCTTTCACATGATCTGACTGTTTTTTAGATTTAATGATAACATCATCCACATAAAATTCGATTTCTTTATGAATCATATCGTGAAACATGGTTTTCATTGCTCTCATATAAGTAGCCCCTGCATTTTTTAATCCAAAAGGCATAACACGATAACAATATGTACTTCATGGAGTGATAAAAGATGTTTTTTCTGCATCTTCATCATCCATAATAATCTGATGGTAGCCCGCATAACAATCCACAAAAGATGCAACCTCATGTTTAGCACAATTATCCAATAAAATATGGATGTTAGGCAAAGGAAAATCATCTTTTGGACTTGCCTTATTCAAATCACGATAATCAACACACATTCGAACTTTTCCGTCTTTCTTAGGGACAGGTACGATATTGGCTAACCAAGAAGGATATTGAGCGA